AATATAATCCATACATGCAACAGAACTTCCATCTCTATTTTAATACAATATTGTAAATAAGTAAAATTACTTCAAATATATATATATTCAAATATACATAAAAAGCATCATTTACTAATTTCACATTACATATACTATGTTTAAAAAATCTCAACAATTAAACAATGAATAATGCTCAATAAAAATTACACACAAACTCAATAACTGCATATAACACAATATAGCATACTATTTAAAACAGAGAATAGCTTACTACTTGATATATGGATCACTCAAGTGACCAAATGTAGTTAAAATGCACTGTTTAAGAAAAAAACATTTCCACATTTCAAAAAATATTTTTCTTTTAGGCAACATTTTACCCTGGTTAATCCTCCCACATTGAAAATGTGGAAGCAAGCACAATAAAAAGTCTTTAAGGCCATACAATTTGATTTATTTGTCCCCCAGACTCCTCATTGTATCTTATAAAAGTATTGCTTATTGACTCTCTCTGCAGCTCATTAAAAATATGTAAGAACCTTCTATAAACCTCCTTGCATCATTGACTCTTTTACCTCAGTAACAAGACATTCATTAACACATTCACTGGAAGGTCAGACTTTTCTTTCTGTATACCATGGCTGTGCTGTTATGAGATTTATTTTTTAAATTTCCCACTTGAACTGGTAAGGGCTATTTATGAGTGTTGAGACACTCTACATCCACCCAAGCATTGTTACCAAATAATGGGTAAATAATTTTTTGTTTTTTCTCATCAGTACCCCTTCACAATGTCAACGAAATTACATATACAGCATAACTGCAGTTTACAGAAAAAAAAAGGCCGACCCATATACGTGATAGCTGCAGTGAATGGGTTAAATCTATAAATTATACACTTATAAAAAAAAATCAGCTATTTGACCAATTTCACCCGTTTTTACTGAATTATTCTTTCATGTTATCTAAGAGAATTTTTGAATATTTGAGGTTTTTTTTTCAAAATTCAGTGATTCTTCTATTATCTCACTACCTATTTTAACAATTTAACCTTAAAATTACCAATGGGGTTCACATAGACAGCTATTACTACTTCTGTTGGCTTAACTGCATGAAGCTATATCCATATGTTTTATCTGTACACAATTTAGAAATGTAAGATTGTGGCTTAGTGGTTCATGCTTATCGTGTTTGGACTAAACAATAGAGTAGCTTTAACTTAATGTATATTGCTTACATACTGCAAAGTACAAATGTAAACAATGCAACTCAGTGCAAGATTGCTTTAATAATAGTAAAAAAATTATGTAAAGTTAATATCCATTATTCTTTATTCACTGAAAAAAAATGTTGACTGCTGAGTAACCTGCCTACTTAATTGTGTTTGTAAGAAATTACTAGGCATAGACAATTAATGGTCTAACAGTATGTAATGCTGTTAAGTTGTAAGCCTATTTATATAAACATGACTCTTGTTTCATAATGACTATCTCTAGCTAGATAGGAAGTATGAGAGAGGGAAAACTAAGACTTGACCATCGTCATGTGCCATAAATATTACTCAGTATTTTATTTGATTTACTGACATCTCAGAATGCACATTTTTGCAGTTTCTTCCATGTACCATAAAACGTAAACATATTATTTTAATTTGTTTTTCTAAACTTCTTTCTTTAAAAGCTTATGATGCTTTTTACACTTATAAAGTTGTTAATTACGTTTTTCACACTGATAATAGAATTAGAAAAAAAAATGCAAAACATCTGTAAGTAAAGATTTTTTATATTACCATGGTTTTAATATTTTTTATAATACTTCACTTTCCATCTTATGAATCATTTTAATCTCTACAAAAAGGTCATCTAGTATAATTACAAAGTTTCTTTCCAAATAGTAAATGTTGTAATGTCTGTTTTTCTTGGATAGGAGTGAATTTGTTTTCATTGAATTATATATGTCACACACTGTCACAAGAATCTTTACCAGTTTTATCACACAAAAGACAATTATTTTTAACAAACAATTAATTTATTTAGATTTGGCAGAGTTGTGAAAATTTGTAGAGAGAAACCCACTGAATGATATTAATGAATCATATTATAAGCTTGTTACAGGTTTTGTACTATGTTGTGTATAAGATACATTTTATAATACAACAGATTACAA